CAGGGGTGGCGCCAGGATTTGCCCGACGGGGGAGGGGGGGGGGGGCGAGGTCCCCGACGAGGGGTCAGATTTCCCCCGAAGAAAGCAAAGTGAGCGTGGTCGAGCTTCGATTAAAAGGTTCCGAAAGTGGTGCTAGAGACGAAGCCCCCGAAAATTTTGACAATTCAGGGGTTTCAAAGGCTTATTTCATCGATTTTAGAGTCTACTAACATATAAAAAATACATATATTTTTTTTTCTCCCCGACGAATTGTACTTTTTCTCCCCGACCGGGGTGGGGGGAAGCTCTCCCCGACGGGGGCCCTGGTGCGCGCGTCCATAACGTCGTCAAAGCAGTAGTGAGATTGGAGACGAATCAACAATAAAATGTGATAATTTCCTCAAAACCTAATAATAGTTTTAAATTTCACGTTTTTAATAACTTTCTGAGAGTATAGAATAAACTTCCCGTTTATGTTCGAGACGAACTTGTACTTGGAATTAATTCCTTTATCAAACTTTTAAACTACTTATGCAAAGAAAATAATTTATTTTGATATAGTATCTCGGTTTTCACCCTTGTAAAGAAAACATTTTAACATTGTTTTTCGCTACAATACCGTTATTATTATTATTATTATTATTATTATTATTATTATTATTATTATTATTATTATTATTATTATTATTACTGTATTATTATCATTATTATTTTCACTATCCAGTGCACTTTTGACTATGATTTCGTAGATAATTCTGTAATTAAAATCTTTAAAACTATTTTATTTAATGAGCTTTTTTTTCAACTCTGCGCCAAACTTCTATAATTTGATGGCAATTCCACACCTGTTCCAAGACTGACAACATATCTGGCATAAACAATACTGTATACTCAGTTAAAACTTTGTTTTCAAATAATTTATTCATTCTCAATATCTGCTTTATGAACGTTCGAACTGAAACCTTTTTTTTAATACTTTGGCAAGTTTATCCATGCTAACAAATGCAGTTAGGCAACTGGAAATAAGATTAGGAAGTTTAACACACACATACACGGTACACTAGCAATGATTTCAACACCATTGAATACATTATTCACAACAATCCAATACTTATATATTTTGGGTATACACTCCTAACTTCAGCTGCTTATATTTACTATGACCTTATGTCATATCAATAGCATAAAATGGCAACTATTACTAAAGACCCATGTTAAACATGTGCAATGTAATAGGTACACAAACATGTCTGTTTCTACATGGTTTCAGTTTGTTATGGTTATCTTTAAAAGATGTAAGACACAAGGGCCAAATAATAACCAAGTCGCAAAGCACACATTTTGAAGATGAGCAACATTAGGTCGAAATATTCTGAATAATTTTTGTGTTTTAAGTATATATGTATATATATATATATATAATATATATATGCTTTTTTGAATGATGCACTATTCAAGTCCAATTATAATTATTATGCTATATATATTGTACACATGGAGAAATCACCATATTTTCTACCATGTATTATATGTTAACAGTTTCTGTCTATCTTGAAGTTTAATTATGTTGCAACATTTTATTAAACTTGAATCAATTAGGCACTAGCATGTAGAATAATATACATATTATTTAACTTATATTTTATTTTAATTCTGTATTTTCAAGTTAATCACAGAAATACAATGTTCTGTTCATATATGCATTTGGTTTTTATCATGTTGAAATGGTTATCTTTTGACAAAAACAGTTGCACAAAATAATACAAATACTTTCTTGTTGTAACCCATAAATAACTAGTTTTAATAATGCTATAGATTTGTATACCTTGTATTGTAATGTCACAATAAATATATTTTAATTATTATTGGTTTAATTTTACTTTATTTAACAAGGATGGTCTATACCTCCATAACCAAGTGACAATGTGATATTTAGGTGTTGGTATTGTTTGAAAAATCCTTATCATAAATTTGCCTATGACTTTGGCAAGCATAGTAACCAAAAAACCATGGAACATGTCTTTCACACAATTGAGACATTGTTTTTATGTTCAGTTGTTTTTTTAATAGTTTTTTCCGCATAAAACAGGAACTACAACTGTTTATACTTTATTAATAATTTACAGTAAATGATAATTACAATAAAAAAAAAAGTTGGCACTGTATGTGCATTGTACTCAAAAAAGAAACTTCATACATTCTGAATAAAAAGCTAGGGTTTGAGTTGTATATTTTTAAGGCACCAAGTGATTTAAATTATTGTACAATCACTGTACAATGGACAACAGCAAACCCCATTGCTTAAAAGTGACCCACAGAGGGTTGGCACATGTACTGCCAGGAATAAGTTTGCAACAAAAAGATTTAATTTTGTATGTTTTAAACTAATACAAAAAATGACCTTCTGTCTTTCATTTCACATCTTCAGTAATTTCCTCTTTAAGAGTACTTTGGGTATCATCGGTTGAAGTAGCACCTGTTGCCACTTCTGTATTCACACCATTTACAGTTTCACCATCTTCTCTGCTATTAACATTCTCTGTAGTATTATCTTCAGTGTTTCCTACTTCCTCTGTGTTTGCTACTTCGTCTATGCTTCCACTCTCTTCATCAATACCTCTTCCTTCAACTGGCTGTCGTTCCTGTTCAATTTCAGAGTCTGAAGGTTCTTCTTCAACTTCTTGTATAGTTGGTGGAGAAGCTAGAGGAAAACAATAGTAATTCATTTCATACAGTTTTATTGATGTTAATATCAACTTAATGTTCATCTCACCGATAGGAATGAAATCATTTTATCTAAAAATGATTCAGGTATAAACAAAAATCAACAATATAAAAATTAATTTAGGTATATTATCTGACAATGGATTGGCCCAAGTGCAAAGCCACTGTGATTACTTGTGGTTTTATGTCTTTTACAGTCAACATCAATCAGACACATTAGCCATGATACATGTAAATGACTAGCGTATCTTGTAGTCTTGAAATGGGTGGGGGCAAAGGTGGAATGGGGTTCGATGACAAAGTGATGGTCGCAAAATAAGGTGATATGAAATTTTTAATTACTTGAGCATAAAATTTAATGTATTTCTAATAGCATATATTTTCTAGATTAAAATGAATTTTAGGAAAAAAAAAATAAACAAAAAAAAAAAAAGAAAACCATCTCAAATATGAAATGCTTAATCACACTTGGAAATAAATTACCTGGCTCACTAAGTAAGCTGACTTCTGGAAGTTTTGGAGCATTCTTGCGTTGCTTTCTTGATTCATTCAAAAAATTGCAATAAGCACATCTAAAAGCTATAGATATAAAAAGTTAATACATATAATATATTTTAAAATCATGTTATTAATTTCCGTATAAATGAAAAGTAAATCAAACAAAGGAGAAATGTAAATTCCTAGAACAGTAGCTGAAAATCAAGAAATGCATGACATGAATACTGAGACAATCACAAATCGAAATGTAGAAATGCAATTGAACATACAAATTAATTAGCAACAACAAGGGTCCTGATTCTCCCGGAACTCACAGGAGTCTTTCTGAAATTGGGACGGCCTATCGCCTATTGCACGTTTTTTTGACTACTTTATCAATTGTTTCATGGAAATCGGTGATGATCAACAACTGGTAGAGGGCAGCGCACTACATCAGGAAACGTCAACAAGTAGCTAACCAGTCATTGTCTGATGAAGATTCATTGATAATGGACTGAAACGTCACAAACAGTATGCATACTTAATGGTTTACTTACTAGAATTTTAATCATACATATTAATTCATACATACAGTATGATTGAATTTATGTATCGCATAATGTGGGAGTACTTTTTTCAACGTTTCATACAAAATCAGGGCAGTCAGACCTTTTGCAATTCTATGCTCTTTATTAATAACTATATGTATAATTATTGTCTATGGGATCAAAATAAGCACAACGTACTGAGCTCTCTTTCCTAAGTTCAAAAGGCATTACCATACATAATCAAAAGATCAAACATCTGTACAAATTATTATTAAAAAATAATAAAAATATCTGTGTACTTACAAAGATATTCAAACTCCTCCTTGAGGGCCATGCCATTGTGTGAGTGACATTGCTTACAGATAAGTGCGTACCTATTTTCAGGCCCATCACCGACTAAATAATCCATTAATTTATCAACAGCACCACGTTGTTGAGGTAAAATAGGTCTTGATGTGACTGGACGTCCTAGGGAATAGCAAATAAATACAATTTATGGCATTATCTCTGATACAATTATGTAGAAACACATAATTTTAATAAATTATTTTCTATGTAGGTAACTGGAAGTAAGTAAAGTAAGTAAATCCTTGCCGAGCCACTAGGGCTCAGAGGATAAATAAAGTAGTTAAAAACTTTTGTGGAAAGCAGGTCATTTTCTAGTAAATTTTTTAAAAACACTAATATCACGTTCAAGTTGATAATGTTTATGTTACTTCAAAAAGAGAAAGTTGATTTTCCAGAAATGATTTATATAATTTTTTTTAAAATTCCTCTAATGCTTGGTTTCTTAATAAAACTATAAAACACATACTTGGAATTAGTGTGGGGGTAAAAAAAAATGACAAAACACTTACTTGGTGTTGTAAATTGTGATGGGGTATTGGGTATTGCTAGCATCGGTCTTTGTTGCATGCCAGGCTGTGGCATGCCTGGCTGTGGCATGCCTGGCTGTGGCGGCCCACCGATGCGTCTTCCCATTTGTGCTGCTTGTGCCCGTTGCCTTAAATTTGGAGCTACATTTAGAAAAAAAGTACTATACTTAATATTATTTATTCAGGCAAAAGATATTTCTGATTTTTAATTTTTTATTTCTTTCACATAATAAATAAGGGACATTAAGATTCAAATCAGGACTAGAAAAAATGTGTGTTACCGGAAGCACCACCACTGCTGGGCTATATAATACAGTATACACATAACATTTGGTTCTGGAGGCATTCATGAAGGTGACTTGCATTGTCGGAGTCACTATTTTTTTCAAGGCCTGATTACAATATCAATTAATTGACATAATTGAGGTTAAGTCATTTTATCAACTAACCTGTTTGGGAAGCACCGATATGTACCACAGGCGTTGGTGAAGGTGGGGGAGGTGGTCTTGAGGAAGGATCAAACCTTTCAAGTATTTCTTTTGCTTTTTTGTAACTTTCTGTCTCTTTTACATCCTCTAACTGTACATATACATAGGGAAAAAGTCATATTAGGAAGGTTAAGTATAGTAATGGGTGAATATAAAGTAAGGGAAACATGAGAGAGGTTAGGTGTACACAAAAAAAAAAAGGGAGAAAAAAATAAGACATGATGTTAATGATGGTGTTACATGGTGTTGTTAAAGACAATAAGGTTAAAATAATAATAAATTAATTAAAATTCTGACTGACCAATTATTATTGTGCACCACAAGAAATAATATATTAGCTTAATGAGATGAAATTAAATACAGATGATGATAATTATTTTTGAAAATTACAATAATGTTATTGATAACGGTCAAATATTGTTTATGATGCTACTGCTGTTCATTAAGGACAATTATGATGTTCAAGATAAAGTCTGCTCACTAATTATGATATTAGTGATACTTATTATGACGATGAAGAGAATGGTAAAAATATAAATGAACATTTCTCCACCACTTACTATCTTTTTCTTTTTTTCCCTCAGGTCTTCAAGAGCAATATCTGTAAATAAGAAATACAATTCTTAAATTCCATCCACAAAAAATATATACACCTTTCTTTGACTGACTTCATATTTATCAAAAGAGCATGTTTATATACTTCACAACTGCAAAGATAAGGGTTTCATAAATTCACACCATGTACACTATAAAATTAATTACCATATTGACATTACAGCTGAACATCTGACCTGGCTAACGGTAAGGTCCTAGAAAGTTCAGACTTAAATGTTGGTTTAAACGCTCAGCTCTTAACATTCATAGGAAATTTAGGTACACACATGTTAAAAAAGGGCCCTGCTTCTATCTGCTACCAATGGCGTATCTCGGGGTTGTGCGCCCTAAAACAGCTTGCCCCTCCCCCACATGATTGAAGCAAGAAACTAACATTCAAGTAGTTAATCACCCTATTTTGTGAGCTAACGTCTCCTTACTTAATCAAGTCTCCTAGAAACGCCACTGTCTGCTGTGTTGTACTTAGGTTTGGTGGCACTGCACTGTGGCTATGTACTGTAGGTCCCCAGGGCCCATCCTAAATTTTCTATTTCCTAGTTGAATGAGGACCAATAAATAATTTTATTACCATAATAAATTTTAAATTCTGATGTTAAGGGTATGTATCATTACGCCAAATATAAAATCAATTTTAACAAAGCTCAAAAAATTTGATCAAATTCAATATTTGAATATAGATATAGAATATCTTTAATTTGTATAACTATGAGAAAATGAGGAAAATTTAAATACCATTTTTAATTTTTCTTTTGATAAAATACCATTGCAGTAGTTTGCGAACTCCCCATATACTGAGAAAAAAACAATAATGAAAATATAACATTAGTTTTTAGATCGAATATCAATCTTCAAGCACTTTTTTTTGAAAATTCTTTTTAAGTACACAATCTGAAATCGACATCTACAGTATTACCGGTTAGGATGATCGAGAGCTAACCGTTAGCACTAACAGTCACCACCCGTGTGAGAACACCCGATCGGTTCTGGATAGTCTCTGACTTGCTAACGGATAGCGAGCACTATCAATTAGCAAGTTGAGTGCATTTCAATCAACCAAACACACATGTATACACATTTCCAATTTCCTATTGGCTAGTAATCCCATCATCTTCTTGATACCTGGATCGGGGATTTGCTTGTATGGAATGCTAGGGTGAGCGCGTATGTTATATTTATCTGGATCCTGCTAACCATTAGCTGGTGTGTGTGAACATAGACTCTGACTACTTTAAATCAATTCCTAATACTGATTGGATGTTATTGCATTTATAGGTTGGACTGGGACAATGACATCAAATCAGAATTAGGTTTAAGACTAGTTACTTACACAAAAGGAAAAATAAGAAGCGGAATGGCTCGTACAACTGTCTCTGTTAATGTCTGTGGCCAGAAGATAAGGTAAAACAGGAGAGCACCACATATGTAGAGAACTATCGAATAGATAATTAAAGAACCAAGGTACTGCTTTTCAAGCTGTTGATCTTGACGCTTGAATTTTAGCAGTCTGCTGATATCTGTTTCAATCTCTTCGAGAATTTCAACTGTTGTTTTTTGTTTCTGTAAGAATAAAAGCATTCATGAAATCACATATCCTGTTAATATAAAACAACATTTAATTCAATTAATACCATGTAAAATAGTCAAATCTAAGTTCACTTTCATGTTATTAGAATTGTAAAGCTGACATATAAACAGCAACAGCCATAACATTACCATACCACAATTGGCATTATTACAAAGGACACTACTACTGCTGTAAAAGATGTCTTATTTGTATTTGATAATACAGAAGGGACTCTTGCTTGCTTTGAATTTTCTCTGGCCTACTTCTCTATTTTTAGCATCACGCACGGCACAAACGTCCACCCGAAACTAGTGTGGGCCTGGACTAGGCTAGGCCCTAGGCCTGGCTCTAGTCTAGCCTAGGCTAAGGAGTACTACTACCGTACTTACTAGGGCCTAGGCCTAGTCCCTTAGGCAGACCGGCCTAGCCTAGTCTAGCCTGGCCCTAGCTAGCCTAGTAGCAGGCCTAGCTAACTAAGCCTATGGATGATTCGTTCATCATACTTTGCATTTGTCTACAGTTCACATACCCTAAATCGCGTCAGTAAGCTACCCATGTTCGTGCTATTAGTAATAAGCCTAGGTCAAAGGCTAATCTAAAAAATAAAACAATATTTCTTGTTGAAGTAATGATCTAGGCCTAGGCCTAGATATTCTTCCAAACTCAGCCTCTAGCTCCCTCAAGTCACTTAACTAAACTCTAGAGGGCGTAATTTGGTCATTTTCTTTCTCTGTATACCGCGAGTGGAGACGAATTGTCCCAAATGTGCGAAAGGTATTCGTGTACAGGGTCAGTACGCAGCCTACAGTAATCGTACCCAGGTTTCCCTCTAATTAACAGATTCTTGTTAAGCAATGTTTTTTGACCACGCTGGTACATGTACATTTATTGTTTTTAATTAACTGAGTAACGCGCTCCCTCTTTCTCATTTGAATCTTCTTCCCTTTTCTTTTTTCTTCTTTTTTTATCCTCTAAAATTTTAATAAAGTACTTTTAGTGCTGGTCTATTATAAGGGGGATTCTAGAGACCAAGGACAAGTGTTTTTTTTTTCCAATGACCACCTTAAAAAAAATCCATAAGAAGCCTTGAAATTTAATTTGAAGAAACTAAAGGCCTATAAATACCGTAAAGGTCTACTGATTAATCTCAGATAACATAGTATAATGCATAATCCAAGTATCGAAATGCACGCCATCGTGTCGGGATTCAATATTTCGACATTAATTATGTCATCATCAGGAAAAACTTATCTTCTTAAGGTTCGACTGTGCCTTAATGTATGCGCAATCCGGACATTGTCTCACCTGTCTGCCATTTCAAGCTTCAGTTAAAATAAAATAACGATGAAACAAATACAAACCCCCAACTTTCCTAAATAGATAACAATCCAAGAATAGGAGGTTGCAACGTTACCAACCAGCCAGTCACTTAGGCCTAATGAGAATTAATCACAGCAAAATAAAATATCAAATTAGAAATAGAGGCAGTGGCGTAACTACCGCAGGTTCAGCAGGCTCATTGAACCTGGGCCCCGAGCTTCAGGGGCACCGTTCTATAAGGGCCCCGCCCCTTACAAAAAATCTAATAAAGCAATACATAAATAAAAATCTGGTTTGATAATATTTATCTTCATATTATAATATTGGACATTATAATCTAAAATTGTTAAAAATAATCACATGTCAAGATGGGAGAGCCGGCACACGTGACAGCACTGATTGTGCAGTATCCCAGTATTTCATGTTGTCTTTAAGCAGTTTGCAGTTGAAATCCAAATGCATCAGTTGCCGCACTTCTTAGTGAAACCGTAATTTATGTGTCAACGCTCAGAAATGATTTTGTTAAGTCGAAAGAAGATACGGCTAAAACATGGAGCGTTGCAGCTTCATTGATGCAAGAAATCGTACAAGAAAGAAATTCTTTGATGAACTATTAAATGATGCTCGTCTAGAAAGTCCTTGTGACCAGTTTAGAGTACGTAGATTTCTATTTAGATAACAGTTCAATATTCGTTCCTCTTCTCCCAGCAGGTAATGGAATACACCCAGCTAGCAAAGCAACGTTGGCCCAACGTTGGTAAACGTTGACAAGCGTCGGGGCCGGATATCTCAAGTTGGTACGACGCTGTTATTTGGTTGCAAAATTTGGTCGGAGAGGTAACGTCAAACCAACATTGGAATTGAGTCACGTTGGCCCAACGTATGGATATATTTGTCGATCATCCGATGTCGTACCAACGTTGGTAAGCCGTCGTAAATATTCAGTCTGACTACGGACGCATGGTACAACGTCACGATTTGTTACTGGCCCGACGTCGGCAAACTACTAAAAAGATGGTTGGGTACTACCGTTGGCCCAACGTTGGCTAGAAGTTGTAAATATTAGATGTGATTGTAGACGTTGTTTCAACGTCACATTACGTTGTTGGCCCGACGTCGGTAACCGTTTGAAATAGTGGTTGGTTAAAACCGTCTAAGAAACGTCGTACCCAACATCTACAGTATTTCAAACGTTTACCGATGTCGGGCCAACAAGGTGCTTTGACGTTGCGACAACGTCTATAATTATATATATATTATGGAGGTTGGTTACAACCGTTTGGCCGACGTTGGTTAGAGGTTGTAAATATTAGATGTGATTATAGACGTGGTCGCAACGTCACAGTACGCTATTGGCCTAACGTCGGTAAACGTTTGAAATGGAGGTTGGTTACAATTGTTGGTTCGACGTTGGTAAAAGGTTGTAATAAATATTAGGATGTGATTATAGACGTTGTCCCAACGTCACGGTACATTGTTGGCCCGACGTCGGTAAAGGTTAGTGGAGGTTGGTGACAACAGTTAGGCCGACGTTGGTT